TTTTCTTACTTAATAAAAAATAAAAGATATTCATCCATTTGTTATTAATTTTTAAATTTTAACTATTTTTAACTAAAATTCTTTAATTAGGAATTAATTGATTTTTTTTATTATAATTTAAAATTAACTTTAAGAAATAGATTTTAAAAACAAATGAAAATGAACGAATAAATGCATAAATGTAAATAATTTATTTTTATGTATAAAGAGCAAAGATTAATTAGTTAATTAATTATAAAAAATTTCAAAAATTATCATCATCTGATCCTTCACCATCTCCTCCTTGAGAGTCTTCTTCAAGATCACCTTCACTTTCACCTTCACCATCATCACCTTCAATTGATTCTTCTTCTTCTTCAACAGCATTTTACATTCCTTTTCCTCCAAATTTCATTTACTCACGGCCTCTAGATGCATTTGAATTACCTTTTGAATTTCCATCTCTGGAATCAACTTTTCTTTCTCCCTTCTTGCCTCCTGCATTACCTGCTCCATCTAAGATAGAGTCATCTAAATCGTCTCCTATTAACTTTTTAGTATAAGCTGCAGTAGACTTTGCCTTATTAATTTCTAATCTTCTATTTTTTTCATCCTATTTCTTCTTTTCAATCAAATTGTATTGGTCAAGTTCATTTTCTAAATAGTCTAAATTTCTGAATTTCTCAATGTAAATCTAGTAAAGCTTTTCCAATTCATACTCAAGTCTCTGTTAACAATTATCAAATAAAAATATTAATTAAACACTTTTTTTTTTGTTTGTTTGTTTGTTTATTTGGATGATATTATAAAAACTGACTATTAAATTCTTTTGATTATCGTATAGAAAAGTTGTTTGATAGATAAATTTGAAATTTTGAAAATTTGCAAAAAAAGAAAGTAAAATAATTTGTAAATAAATAAAATTATAAGTTACTATGTATTCCTCCATGTAGGCAGGTTTCATAACCTTGAGATTATACAAAAGAGTTTGCTGCTTTTGAAGCTCTATGGTTAGCTTTTTAGTTTTATCTTCGATATTTTTTTGCTCTTTTTCCAAGTTGCTTACATAATTCTGCATATCTATTATACCTTAGTCCTATTACTTTATAATTTCACGAACGCATTATTCTATATAGGCTTATTCACTATTAGATTCAAGGTTTCTTGATATATTGTCCAAAAACTAAAGAGCCTTATCTCTATGTTATTACAAATCATTTTCTTTGTTCAGTGAATCAAATAATTTCTGAGCAATTTCAGTAATATCGTTTGCTATTGCTCTATGAGCTTTTATGTTAGAAAGCTTGCCTGTTTTATTTATAAATAAAGTTTAAATTTTCAATGTTTATGATTGCTTTGTTTCTTTTTTATTTCATTTCTATCAACTTTAATAGGATTTATTTTTAAATAAGAATAGCAAATATTTTAATATTTTATTTTATGAATCTGAATGGTGTTAGAATGTATTTATTTATTTATTTAATTATTATTTTTGATTGATTGTTTGATTACTTGGAAGGGTAAAGCCAGCATTTTCTTCCTCATCTCCAGGTGATGAATTATATGCTTTGTATAAAACGGTGGCAACTTTAATTATTTCTTGAACAGCATGTCCATCTGCTTGATACAGTTTTCTAGTATTCAGCTTTATCCTAATCTTAGATGCAAAGAGCGTTGCTATTGCTTTAATAAACTCAACTCTATGTCTCTCTTCATCAATCTACTCTGGAATATCTGCCTATGGATCGACGCGAGTTGCTAACCAGTACAAGATATCTGCTACTAACTCAAAATTAGGCTTACGAAAGTTCTCCATCGATATCAATCTTGAGTAGCCTAAAGCTCTCATCATTTCACAAAAATTACGTAATTCTCTATAAGACATATCTATTAAATCTACAGCTTACTTAGTTTTTAAAATATTTTATCAAAATTCTGCTTCTGCGTTTTGCTATTTATTTTATTTTGATCGATCAATCAACTATGTTTGAAATAAGTTAGAAATATTTTGATCTATTTATTTATTTATGAATTCTATATGTATGTATGTTTATTAATTATCTGATTTGAATCTTTGCTTATTTGCAACTTATCAATTAATTTAAATTTTCTTCTTCTTGAATTACTTAATTAATTAATTCATTCATTCATAGATTAACTAATTTATTAATTAACAAACAACAGAATATATATTTATATATATATATTTTCAATAGTGTTTTCTTTTTTTTTGCTTATTAACATTTTTTCATTTTTATTTTAAAATTTAATATTCAAAATCATCTAACAAAATAAATCAAAAAATAAATAAATAAATTTTCAATCACTAAATTGTTTTTCAAATTCTTTATTCTTTTTTTTAAACTAAAATCAATTCAATTCGAGCTAATTGTTTGTTTTAAAATATTTCAGAAATTAAAAAACTATTTAAAACATCTTCGAAATATATTTTAAAAAATAATTGACAGACGTTATGAAAGTCTTTGGATATTCTTTCTTTTTTCTGATCATTAAAAAATCTTTTTAAAACCATCAAAATAAATATTAAAAAGCAAACAAAAAATTAATTGATAAATTGTGATTTTTATTCTTTTGGAAGTTTTTTATTGTAAATAAAATTCATGTTAAAAATATGTTTAAAATTACATAATAAATACGAAAAAAAGGAATGAAGTTAAATTAAATTAAAAGATATATTTAAAATAAAATCAATTAAAATTAATTGAAGAATTTAAATTTAATATTTCATAAATAAATCAAATTTATCCTATTAAAATATAAATAATTATCTTTGTTAGCTGATTAATTAAGTGCTCTTTATATTAAGAGATCTTTTATAGATTTTATGGGGTTTTATTATATTAAGGTCCTTAGATAACAGCTTTTTTTAAAGTTAAATGGATAAAAAAAGACTCTATTAAAAAATAAATAAAGCAAATAAATAAAATGTTTGAATGAAATTTATATCATTTTATTAAAAATTAATGGAACAAATATATATATATATTATTATTAATATTTCTCAACCAAGCTAATTCAAAATCAAAAATTTCTTTTTTAGTTAAAAATGAAAGATAGAAAAAACTAAAAATTTTTCAAAATTTGTGTGCCTGTTTGTTTTTTTGTTTACAAATAAATGAAATATATTCTTAAAAATATCAGAATTTGTTAAAAGAGCATTACGAATTAAAAAATAGAAAAAAGAAACTTTAATTAAAAAATATTTTAAAATAATTGAATGCCAAGAATTTTTGAAGATTAATTAGGATTAAAAAGAATTAATTTTGAAAAATAATTTTTGTCAGTGAATAAATTTATTTATTTATTTATAAATGATTTTGATAGAATTTATAGAACATTCTAACTATTTAATTATTGGTTATTTTTTTATCACTAATCTATCAAGAATATCTTTTAATATTTTTAACTTTACTAAAAAATTTCAGTTTAAACATTGCAAAAAGGAAAATAAAGAATTTGAAATAAAATGGAATAAAAAGAATTTTGAAAAATAATTTTTGTCAGTTAATAAATTTATTTATTTATTATAAATGATTTTGATAGAATTTATAGAACATTCTAACTATTTAATTATTGGTTATTTTTTTATCGCTAATCTATCAAGAATATCTTTTAATATTTTTAACTTTACTAAAAAATTTCAGTTTAAACATTGCAAAAAGGAAAATAAAGAATTTGAAATAAAATGGAATAAGCAAGCGAAAAGACAAAATCATTTGTTTTAGCAAGTGGATTAGCTGGTGGAATAGCAGGAGTAGTTGTAGATTTTATAGTATTCCCTATTGAAGCTATAAAAACTTAAATTTAAGTAGAATTCTTTACAATTTTAAATGACTATGTCAATCTTTTGATTATAATTAGGCAAGTAATAGTAAAATAGATTTTAAAAAAATGGCATCTCAAAATAGCAAATACAAAGGATTCAGCGCCTAATTTATTAGCGCATTTCCCTTTGCTTTCCTTTACTTCTTTACATATGAAGAAGGAAAGAGAATATTAAGAAATTCTCCATCGTTGAATCTTAATTTATAGCATATGATTGCAGCAGGAGTAGCTGAAACAATTGGAAATTTATTTAGATCTCCCTTTGAAGTAGTAAAATAATAGCAACAAGTTGGTTGGGATAAACAAATTAAATAGACAATCTTAACTATTTATAAATTAAATGGTAATTTAGTGTTTTAAAATATCTTTTTTATTATAATAAATTAGCTGCAAGATATTAAATTAATGCAATTACATTAAAATTTAAAAGAAAAAATAAAGCTAAATATTCAATATTAAAAATTTTTATGGCAATAATAATTGCCTTTACCAATAAAATTAGATAAGTTCATTTATTTATTTGGTAAATATTTTTAAAATCAATGAATATCTGCATTTATAAAATGGAAAATAGAATAAAAAGTGGTTAAAAGAAAGTAAGCAAATCCATAATTTCTTCGATTTTAAATAAAAACCATTCATTTAGCTGAAATAAATTGATTATAAATTAATACAAAGTCTATTGAAATGTTTAATGATAGTTAAATAAATAAACTAAATGCAAATACTAATAGAAATTTTATGATAAAGACATTCATTCTAATTTATTTATAAAATAATAGGCTAAAATTTTTATTTCAGAATAATTTTAAAATATATTTTTTTAATGAAAATTATTGTAAGATTTATTAGAATTATTTTCACATTTATTATGATTATTAATAATTTTATTAGCAGGATAGCCATTTTAAAGTAGATAATTTTTATTTTAGATACAATTTTAAAATATTCTTTTTTTAATGAAAATTATTGTAAGATTTATTAGAATAATTTTCACATTTATTATGATTATTAATAATATCTATTAGCAGGATAGCCATTTTAAAGTAGATAATTCAATTATAAACAATTTATTTTTTTATAAAAACAAATAAGAAATTGAATTATAATTTTCATACATTTCTACCAAGTCATTTATTTAATTATTAGTACATAAAGTGCGTATTTTCTCCTACTTTTATTAATTTTTTTATAAAATTATTCAAATTAATTTGCTTAAAATGTTATTTTTATTTTATTTACTTTTAAAAACAATATAAATGAAAAATGATAATCATTTATCACAAAGTAAAATTTGCTATGAATATTTTTTTTTGCAATTGATTAAATTTTAAATAATGTAAATTTGAATAGAATTTAATGATATTCTCATATTTCATTTCAAATATTTTTATTTCAATAATAATTAATTAATTATTTAATATTTTACTTTTACTCAATTTTAATAAATGAACTTTTGAATAGAAATTAAAATATATTTGCATTTAACTTATTATTAAAGATTTTTATTGAGAGAATGAATGAAATAATTATTTATTAACACCATTTTAAAACTTTGAATCAAAAGAATATTGGAATGCTTTGCAGCTATTTATTTTTATTTTAATAAGATTTTTAAGATGAAATAATTTATGTTTTTAATTTTTAATGAATGATAGGTATTTAGGGATTTTATGCTGGATTTAGCACTTTGTTAATGAGAGATATTCCTTATAGTGTGATTTAATATCCTTTATATGATAAAATGAGATAAATAGAGTAAGTTAATAAAAGAAAGAGGGAGAATCTACCTGAAGACGCCGAAGTCAAATTATCTTTTGTCGAAAGTAGTAAATGTGGAGCTGTAGCTGCTGCAGTAGCTTCATTTGTAACAACTCCTTTAGATGTAATTAAAACTAAGTTGATGACTTAAAGAGATGGATATTATAAAGGACCTTTGGATGCTTTAAAAAAAACAGTTGCCGAAGAAGGTAGCATGGCACTTTTCAAAGGTGTCAAGCATAGAGTTTTACCTCTTTCTTTTACTGGTACTATATACTTTACTGTTTACGAGCAGGCAAGAAATTTTTTATCAAAAAAATTGAATTATTGAAAACAATTTTTTTGTTGAAATTATAAACAATTCACCATAAATTAATCAAAAATAAATTTGAAATTGTAAATTTAGTTAGTAAATCAAAGAAAAATCAATAAATTATCACAATTAATTTTGTTTGTTTTTTGTATATTTATTTGTTTGTTTGTTTGTTCTTCTTATTAGAAATATATGTAAGTAAGCTAATTAGCAAGCAAGTAAGTAAGTAAATTTATTTATTCGCCTATCTATCTATTTGTTAATTTCTAATTTTTCAATTTAAAGTAAAGCATTATGAAAACATTTTCTTCCTTAAAAGAGCAGTAAAAACATTATTAACATTTTAAATTATTTGCTAAAATAAATTGCTATTTTATGATGATTTTCCTGCTTTTATTTGACCACATTTTTCTTCAAAACATTAAATTAGGGGGAAGATGAAAGGCAAATCGCCAAACATAAAAGTAAAAATATATTGTTGATAGATACATAGAAAGCCTAAATGATTAATGCATAAAAAATAGGAAAGAATGCAAATTTGCAAAGACCTGGGAATAGACTACAAATAAGAAAGTTAAAAATATAGTTGGATTATCGATGAAGTAATTTAATGCAAATACAGTTAAGAAAATTTGTTTATTAATATCAATTGTTATTATTAATAATAATTTGTAGGTTTAAAGGGCTCCATTAGGCGAAGATTGGGTTAAGTAGATCGATAATGAGAATAATATAATTTATTTTAATGTGAAAGAAGACACGAAACAATACTCGCACCCTTAAATTAAAAACTATAGAAAAACATTTTTAGAATATGTGGCGTAAAATGATTGCTTGTTTATTTTTTTTAGTTAGGTTTTTGGTGTATTGAATAAATATATTTATAACTTTTATATTAATAGAAATTGTGATGCTGAAAGATAAACTAACTAAGAAAAAAGCATCCCAAAATATCTTAAAAGAAAAGATTTTATCAATGATGCATAAGCGGTTACTACTAATACTAAATCTGGATAGCTTATTAGCTCTGACTATATACTTCCTAAAGAAAATAAATAATTATCTCAACTATCGTTGCTATTGTCGAGACTTACTTCTATTAAATAGGAGGAAATAAACTTTTAAAATTCGCAATACAATGAAAATAATAAAAATACTTTAATAGAATTAGAAAGAGAATTGAATAACAGCTATTCATTTTACGAGGAGTTGTTGGGTAGTTCAATCATTTAACTTCCTGAGGAGTATTAAAAACCTACTTAAACAAATCCATATCATATTATAAGGGCTTTTCAGATATTGAATATTAATAGAAAAGACATTTACTTATTCTTTTTTGGAAAATTATATTGCTTACTTCCTTTGCCTCCATTATGGCAGAGATTCTATGATCCAAGTACTAATCAAGAATATTTTTATTACAGCATGAGCTAAATCAAATTTTTTGTTCATCCTTCTTATTTTTACCTATAAGACTAAATTACTTACATGAAGCAGCATAAATTTGAAATAATAAATAAGTAAATTTCTAACAAATTCTAAAATTAATAAAATACATATTTTTATTTAGCAACCCTACTTATTACAAGTAATTCAAAGTGATGAAATTTTAAGATTAGCTCATGAGAGAATTCGAAATTGACCTATAAGAATTAATTGATGAAAATGAAACCATAGAGACAAATGCAGGTTATTATTTTTAATTACATTTTCTCTTTTAGTTAATCAAATAAACATTTTTAAATAAACAAAATTTATTTAATAGTGAAAATTTGAAATATTTCATTTAAAAATTAAAAAAATTAAGATAATCTATTTAATAGTGAAAAAATTTAACATAATTTATTATTTAACAGTGAAAATATTTGAAATAGTTAATTTAATAGGAAAAAATTTATTAATAATGGGAAAATAATTTATTCTTGGCAAAAAATATTTGAAATATTCATTTAATAATTAAAAAAATAAAGATAATTTATTTATTTAATAATCAAAAAATTTAAGATAATTTATTATTTAACAGTGAAAATATTTGAAATAATTCATTTAATATGAAAAAAATTATTAATAATGAGAAAATAGTTTATTTAATAGTGAAAATATTTGAATTAGTTAATTTAATAGGAAAAAATTTATTAATAATGAGAAAATAGTTTATTTAACAGTGAAAATATTTGAAATAATTCATTTAATATGAAAAAAATTTAAATATTTTATTTAATAATGAAAAAATTTAAGATAATTTATTTGTTTAATGGTGAAAATATAAGTAATAGTTCATTTAATATGAAACAATTTAAGATAATTTATTATTTAAGAATGAAAATATTTGAAATAGTTAATTTAATAGGAAAAAATTTATTAATAATGAGAAAATAGTTTATTCATGGTGAAAATATTTGAAATATTTCATTTAATATGAAAAAAGTTTAAATAATTTATTTAATAATGAAAAAATTTAAGATAATTTATTTGTTTAATGGTGAAAATATAAGAAATAATTCATTTAATATGAAAAAATTTAAGATAATTTATTTAAAAATGAAAATATCTAAAATAGTTAATTTAATAATGAATGAAATTAATTCAAATAGTTAATTTAATAATAAAAACATTTAAAAATTTATTTAATCGTGAAAATATTTGAAGAGTTGATTTAATATGAAAGCATTTAAAATAATTAATTTCATAGTGAAATAGTTTATTTATTATTTTTATTTTAATATAAAGATAAAAAGTAGAATGTTTAGAGTAAGTTCCAGCAATTAAAAAAACAAAAAGAGAATGAAAAAATTAGGCAAAGATACATAAAATTAAAAAAAATAGAAGAAATATAGGACAAAATGTAAAATGATAGGTAAAATTATAGAATCTATTAATAGGAACTACAGCTGTTATAAAAGGAGCTCGAAAAATTTGATAGAGAAAACTCTTTTTTGGATGAACTAAATTTATCTAATAACTCTGAAAATTCTATATCTGAAGCTAATAAGCAATCAAAAGAACCAGTCAAAGAAAAAATTAGTGATTTAGTGCTAACGTAGCTCTATCAGCAAATTTATCTTCCTTAATAGTTTAAATTTTTGATTGGAGCAATCGAAGAGTTTCTTACTGACAAATTGAAGACAGACATTTGGTTTTATACAATCAATGACGAAAGTACTACAATATATCATTCATTCAACTTTATCATATTTTTCAATACCCTAAGTCTTCTTTAACTATTCAAAAAATTATTAATTAATATTTATTTGCTTTTTATGATTTTTCAGAAAATCTTAGAAAGAAGTTTTAATATAAAGAAGCCTTAATTAATGAGGATTTATTGTATTTGTTTTTTTAAAAGTAAATTTAATAAATTTTAATGAAAAATAATTTAAAAAATGATAGTTTTATAATTAAATTGATTTTGGGTATAAAATATAAAGAGTTTGTTTATTAAAAGATAAAATATTTAAAATTTATATTTATTTTTAAATGAATAGAGAAAGTAAGATGGGTGAACAAACTAAATAAAAGAGTAATTGAAACTTACCCTCATATTAATGAACTAAAATTGTACATTGATAAATTGAAAGAGTACTATGAGAATTTGTATTACGAAAAAAAGAAAGATGCTAAAACATACAAAGAAAATTCTTTGGAGGATTTCAAGAATTTTATTGCAGTAGAGATAATTAAAAAGGAGGCTTCTAATTTTATTTCTTATTTGATTTCTTGTAAAAATGAAAATAAAGTATTTGAATCTATTGTAAAATATATTTTTTATCAACTTAATTTGATTGATTATTTTATTCAATAAAAGGATTAAATCGATTATGAGTTTAATTTAGTTTATGATGCTCTGGGATTAACTTAAGAAGACATAACAAAGGAATAAGTCATGGAATTGCTATTCTTTTGTCCATTTAACTTCGAGAAAGATATAAAATTCAACTTGTAGCAATAAGATTAATCTAGCAACAAATAAGGAACTTACAATCTACCTTTTAAGAAAATGCTACCAAAGAAAGCCAATAAAAATGCAAATCAATTAGATTTCAGAGAGAAAAGTAATTTTATTTTATTTTTATATTTAAATTAATAATGTAAAATTATATTTAGGGTCTATTGTTGATGATATACTGCAAGAAATTAAAAAGGCTAGCATAATAAATTAGTAAGAAATAGAATAAGAGAAATAAAATAATGAAGTTGCTCCAGAAGATTCAGAGCTTTTAATAAAGCCAACTCTTAAGAGAGCAAACACAATTTCTCCAACTAAAAAGGGATCAAAAGAAAATCTACAAAAGCAATTTATTTACCAAAGAAAAATGAAAAGAAATAACACAATAAATAAAATTTAATCTCCAAAGACTTAAAAAAATAGTTCAAAGAGAAACAGTGAAGTTGAAACATTTTTAAACAACGATGTAAGCAATTTTAAGTGAAAAAGCTGAGTAAAAAGTGATTTTTTTATTTTTTAAATAGGAAGTTTTTGAAAATACAAATTAGCAGAGAAAGAAGCTTTCAAGTATTTTAAATATTTCAGATGAAATGAATTAAAGTAAGTAAATCACAGGGGAAGACAATTAATAAAACAGCATTTTAGGGAAAGAAGAAGAAAATAGTTAGCAGCTAATTAAGGATAAAAAAAATAATGATAGCATTTTAAATGATGCTGATCGTTTTTCTAGAAAGAATGTTGGTATTAAGTTTTAAATAGAGTTAATACCAAGCTTGAAAAGAGAGTCTTCGATAAGAGATAATTCGAAATCTCTACCATCTCAGCCATCTTAACAGGAAATAAAAGAAAAAGAATTAGTAATTTAGAAATTCAAAAGCATCGTAGAAGAATAAGAAGAGTAATTATCTCCTAAAAAGAAAACGATTCTAAAAGATTTAAGATCAAAAATAAAATAACTTTTAGACCAAGAAAGAAAGAAAATTTCAGCATAAATATTAAAATATAAATAAAACAAAACAGTCAATATATCTTCCAACAATATTTCTGATCTTGTCAGCGACCAAAAAAAGACCTTAGATTCAATAAACATTGCATCTAAAGATGATTCGTTTTAGTACAAGAAATCTTTTATCTTAAATGACAACGACCAAGGAGACCACGTTATAAAAGTAATAAATTTATTTTTTATTCTTAAGTTATTTTCTTCTGAATTTATTAATTTTTTTAGAAGGAATTTTTTATAGATTTTTAAAAGGAAATTTGCTTAAAAAATTTAATAAAAAAATAAATTATTGAGTTTTAATTAAGTATTTTGGATTTGTTTTTTAATTTGAGAATAAATTTTAATAGCTTTTTAAAAGGAAGTTTATTAGAAAAATATTAATAAATAACAATTTATTGAGTTTTTAATAAAGTATTTTGGATTTATTTTTTAATTTGAGAATAAATTTTTAGTTGCAATTTAATAGGAAATTCGCTGAAAAAAAATAAATAAATAAATAAATAATAATAATTTATTGAGTTTTAATTTAGAATTTTGGATTAGTTTTTTAATTTGAGAATAAATTTTAATAGCTTTTTAAAAGGAAGTTTATAAGAAAACATTTTAAAAGGAAGTTGTCTATTAAAAAAAAAAATAAATAATAATTTATTGAGTTTTAATTAAGAGTTTTGGATTAATTTTTTATTTGAAAAGATATTTTTGATAGATTTTTAATAGAAATTTGCTAATAAAATTTAATATTAAAGAAATAATAATTAATTGAGCTTTAATTAAGAATTTTGGATTAATTTTTTAATTTGAGAAGAAATTTTAGTAGCATTTTAAAAGGAAGTCGTCTATTAAAAAAATAAATAAATAAAAATACATTAAGTTTAAATTAAGAGTCTTGGATTAATTTTTTATTAGAAAAGATATTTTTGATAACTTTTAATAGTTTTAATTAAGAATTTTGGATTTATTTTTTAATTGAAGAGAAATTTTTTATAGCTTGTTAAAAGGAAGTTTATTAGATAAATTAATTTATAATAATAATTTATTGAGTTTGAATCGAGAGTTTTTTATTTTAAATATATAATTTGAAAAAATAAAAGGAAGCTTTGGACTAATTGGAGGAGTACGATAGAACAGAAGACTATGGACCGATAACGAAAAACAGAAGGATTATTTTGAAAAAAGAAGATTTTAATATTAGCAATCTTCTTAATACAACAAAAGATCTTGAAAGTCCAGTTTTTAAGTGGAAAAAAATGAATCTGTTTTAGTTAAATCGATAAATGGTTAGAAAAGAAAAAAAGATAAGGAGAAAAGTTGTCATTGATAATGAATATGGATTAAAGCCTTGGACAAATTAGGTTTAACCTACTGATAATGATATAAAGATAATTAAAGAGTGTTTGTTATTAAGAGCTTATTTAGCAGATGAAAGCTTAAACAATATAAAAATATAAAATGAATCATTTGAAAGTGACAGCTCTTTTTCTCCTGTTAAATAACGAAAAACTGTTAAAAAACCTAAAAAAAATTCCAAAAATAGTAAGAAATCTGAATTATTTAAAAGAGTTCAAAGTGCTGAAAATCAATTTAGATAGAACAATTAAAATAAATAAGAAAATAAAGAAAAATAGGCCAACTTGAAATTGTTAAGATAGTAATTAAACTCAACAAATTCAAATAGAAAAGACAAAAATTTAAATTATGTTTAAATGATTGAAAAAACGTATTTGAAAGACTGCGTTTAAACTTTGAAATAAAACAAAAAATTCGTCAAAAAAGATTAATTCTAAAAAATTTTGGAATACGATTAAAGCGATTACAAAACAAGTTATTACAATGAAAATTCTTCAGATTAGGAAAATAATCCATTTAATGTAAAAGGATCGAATGAAAATAGTTTAGATTTGAATTTTAATTACAACGCTCTGAATGACAAAGATTTCTTTTAATCTTAGAAACAAAGAAAATTCAAAAATAAAAAGTTTTAAAACTATTTTGTCAAACACAAAAATGCTTTCGAGTTAATTCTTAATGAAAAAAAGATAGCTTTTGATAGCAGTTTTGAAAATAAATTTGAAGATTCTATATTACCAACAGAATAGGAAGAGCTAAAGGCTTATTAGCCGTTGATTTATCCAGCTTACATCCCATAAAAAATACATTATCCATAATAAATATAACCTGAAATTACTCTTCAAAAACAAGAAAAATCCTTAAAAGTTACTCTTGAAAAAAGCATTCAAACAACTCCTAAAAGCGATTCTAAAGTAAAATTTGCCTTGCCATCGTATTTGATTCCTAAAAAAGACAGTATTTTTTATTTAAATTAAACATTCTTTAAAATATATTTTATTTTAACCAAAAAGATGTATTTGTCCATGTTAAAGACCTTGAGAAATACGAAGTCCAAAGCTTCAAAAGTGTGTTTAAAATATTATCTGATATCACATAAAGGAATATTCAATAATAAAATAATGAAGTAAATAATTTCAATAATAAAAGTATGTCAGTTTCTGCATTCAGAAATTGCTTTAGAAATGTGAGATCAACACATTTATTAGGAATAGAAAATCTTAATATTTAAAATTAGTAATAAAATTAACAAATAATAAAACCAGATGCTTTAAATAGAAGTGCTACTTTAACTAAGTTACCTTCAAACAATTAAATATGTTTGTCATCTTAAAAAATAAACAATTCAAGATCCTAGCGATCAATTTCTCTTTAGCAACCTAAAAGTAAAATTAAAAGCTTAAAAAAAAATTATTAAAATTTTTTTATTTTTAAAAAAGATTTGAATTTAGAAAATATTTAAAAATAAGCAGGAAATTTGAGTAAAAGTTAAGAAATAAGTAAGAATTGTTAATTGCTTTGTAAATACGTTATACTTTAAACCAGACAAACTGATTTTTGTTCATAAGAAGAGTAACTTGAGTATTAAAAATAATTTAATTACATTTTGAATAGATTAACATTGAAGATATACTTAAATTATATGGATCATCTAAATGAGTTTATTAAAACAAACTAAATCAAAAAATCTTTTAAATTGCAACTGTTTAAAGAAATTTGTATAATTTATGAAAACTATTTAGAAAATAACCCTAAAAACATAAAAATATATTTTAAGCCTCAATTTTAGTTTTAAGAAGCTGAAAAACTCACAGAAAACAGCAATAATTAAAAATTTCAAACTATTCACTCTATAGGCTTGAAGAATTTTTTAAAATAAACTCAAGAATACAACAAAAACTTAAAAGTAAATTAGAAAATTTTTTATTTAAATTTAATTTATTTTTTAGAAACTAGGAATAGAACCTTAGCATAAAAATAGACTTGCAGATGATGGATAGAAAATAATTAGCACCATATCGAAAAAAAACTTAAGCAATCTAAAGTTTGATATCATTAAAAATATTTCTGTTAATGTTTAAAATTTTCCAAAAATAATTTGATTTTGCTTCTTATAAAATCAAATCAATAAAATAATTAAAATAGCTGCTATTAATCTGAAATGTTCTAAACAAAAGGATATTAAAATTATCTGAAAATATCCATGTAATGTACAGTTAATATAAAGAATAATAAAGCTGCTGCATTTTTTAAAATATATTTAATTAAAATTATAACTAACTAATTTGTTTTCATTTTGTAACTCTAAAATAAATATGTATTTTAGATATAAAAAGTATCTATCTATTTAATTTATTAAGAGTTTATTCTATGTCAAAAACAAAACAAATTAATATAAAAATTATCAAATCTTTTATTAATTCAAACTACTCAATTTTAATTATGTGTAAAATAAATAAAATTAAATAAAATATTTCAAAAAATACCGTATTACCTCTCAACTCGGTCCTCGGTTTTTGGCGAAACCGACCAAGGATATTAATCATTAAAAAAATATTTAATAATAGATTATTATGAAAAAATAAAAAACAAGTAAAATTGAAATATAGGTTATATAAATATTAAGTAAATTATGCTTTTTTATGAGTAGACAATTTATAGATTAAAAAAAAATATTTTGATAAAATGTTATAAAATTTTATTTATTATTAATTTTATAAATATGATTAATCCTTTAATTTTTATTATAAGATTCTTATTTTTTTGATTTTAAAAACTATTGTTTTCTTTTTTATTTATCTCAATAAATAAATATTATTTTATTTAGTTTTTTATTTCATTAAATTAAGTTAAAATAGAACCTAACAAATATATATTTATAATATAATAAATTTTAATTGATTATATTATATTAATTAATTATCATTTAATTTATTTTTGTAAGCAATAGAATAAATTAAATTTCTATGCTTTTGGGGAAAATTAAAAACTGTTTAAATTTTCTTGTTATTTTTAATTAATTATCAAAAAAATAATCATTCATTAATAACTACTTTTTCAGTTAACAAATTTTTACAATTTAATTAAAAAAAGAAAGAAATTAATTAAAAGAAAAGAAAGAAAAAAAAGGTAAATAAAAAAAGATTTAGTTATAAAATAAAATATATTATTCAAATTAAATTTAAAAATATTTTTTCTTTTACTTTAAATGTTATAATTATTTTTTATATTAGCAAAAGTTACTAATCATGCAACAATAACAAGATATTCAGCTTAAATATGAAGCACCTGTAGAAAAATTTGAAAAAATTTTTGAGGAATACCTGAAGAAACATAAGATGAGTATGATGTTTGATTCAGATGAGCTAATAACGATTTACAATGAGCTTCAAAAAGAGAAGATATACTTAACATCCTACATTTCACAAGGTGGTTTTGGATGTGTTTTTGAGGCTAAGTACAATGAAGAAATAGTAGCTATCAAATGTAGCAAAACTAACTTTGAAAAAATTGAAGAAGAAGAAAAAATACTGAAATTGTTAAAGGATACTCCTTATGTTTTTAAATCTATCAAAGGGTTTACAAACTAAAAAAAATCGAGATACTATCAGATTTCTAAAAGATATTCATGTAAAAATTTATATTTTTTTCATATTAATTTTTAGAAAATATTAAATTTAAAAGGCAATCTTAAAGAAATCATGAAAAGCTTCTTTGAATAGAGAAAAACTCTCCCACTCAACTAAATTATTGGTTTTGCTATTCAGATGTCAACAGTCTTTGAAAAAATTGAGCAGAATAAGTTGATTCATTCTGATGTTAAACCTGAGAATATCCTTTACGATAGTGAAGAAAAATGTTTTTATCTATGTAAATTTCTAACGTTATTTAAATTTTTATTTTATTTTTTAAATTTTTAATAAACAAACTTTTAAAACAAACTAACAACAAATATATTGTAAATTCATTTAATCTTACCCCCTTCTAAAAATGTGATTACAATAAACAGTAATTTAAAAGAAAATTTTTGCCCCATAATTTTTAAATTTTCACTTCTAAAAGTATAAAAAAGCAAATTTACATATTAAGCAGCAAATAATTATCATTTATAAATAAATTAAAAAAAATTTATTGATTAATTTTAAATCTTTTATTATTTATATATTTATTATTGATATTACTTGCGAATAAAAGCACTAGTGGCATACCAAACCACCAGATTTTTTATTCACATGTTTTTAAATTTAAATTAATGAATGAATTTGCTCTGTTAATTAAATTAAATCACTTATTTATAAACATAAACACTATTTTTTAAAATATTTGTGATTTAATTAATAAAATATATATAATTTTGAATTATTTAAGTTTTTATTTCTTAATAAATAAATATTTTAAATTTATAAGATTTACTTTTAATATTATTTTTATATTTCATTTTATAAATTTTTTAGTTTATTTTAATATTATTTAAAAGGTAATTATGGAGAGTCTAAATAGTTTAAAGATGGATCAAAAACTTACGATGTAATTAATTTATTTATTTATTACTATTCAAATTTTTTTACTATTTAAATTAATTTAAGCATTCTTCATTTTTAGATTTTAAATACTTACTTTTAAACATTTAATTTATTAAAATTTATCAAAATTTCTCCATTTTTCTAATATTTAAAAATTTCTTTATACTCTTAATATATTAGATGTTATTTCGATTTGAATTTATTTTATTTTACATTCTTTATGTTTAAAAGCTCAAAGGATTTGCACCAAAGTATGCAGCTCCAGAAATTACAGATACAAAAAATGGTACCTTCAATATCAAAGTAAATTTATTAAATTTTTTTATTATTTATTTATACTTATTTTTAATTATATTTTTTTTATTTAAAGTATGACATTTATGGCTTAGGAGTAATTCTCCTTGAATTAACCCTTGGAAAGTTTCTAGAAGACTCAGATTGTTCTTTTATCAGAAATGGATAACTACCAAATTATATAAGCAAAAATGCTTTATATTAAGATATTAACTAAATCATAGTTAAAATGCTTGAAAAAATGCCTTAGAATAGAATCAATTCATTTGAGCTAACTAAAAAATTAAATGATTTAAGACTAAAACTAGAAAATTAGTTCATTTGTGCAGTAAAAGACAAATTAGATTCTACTGAATCTAATATGATGATTTCAAAATTCAGACAATCTTTTCTTAAATTTAACTACACATGCAAACAAAGTGAAGTCAGATTAGATGAGTATACTTTTAGTGATTACAGTGATCTCTCTAAAATCTAGGAATACATAGTAAAGAGGCTTGTTCATCACTTAGATCTAGATTTCAGGTATTAATATTATTATTTAATAATTTTAAATATTTTTAAAAAATTTCATTTTAATAAATAATTCTTGAAAATGAATTCTTCAAATAACATCAAATTTTAATATTTTTTATTTATTTAATTGATATTTTTTCCCCTAAAACAAATATAAATTATTCTATTGTACTTATTTTAAGTATCTAAATAAAAATTTAGAAATTGGTTATTTTTCCATAATTTTAAATTGATAATTATTTGTGAATAGATTTTAATTCCTAAATAAATCCACTTATTTTCATTTAAATATAGTTTTATTTTATCAAAATTAAATATAAAGCTAAATATTGTAAATGAAATTTATTTTAGATATCTTTTTTTTTATACTTTTGAGATATTAAGTTATTAAAAATTTTAATTGCTAAATAAAATGAAATGAAAAATAGAATTAATCAATGAATTTAATAATTATTTTATTTAAAATTGCAGAATTAAATACTTAAATTTTTATTTACTGTAGAAATAAAGAAGTGTTTTTACAAATTTTGTTTTGCTTCTATTTTTTCAATTTGAATAAATTATCATGAAGTCTTAGTTTAAAATTATTATTTGAACTATCAAAATTAAAAAAACTACCTAATATTCAAAACTATATAATTTAAAAATTAATAATAGATAATTATAAATTTTTTATCTTTTTTACTTTAAAATTAAAATATATTTAACCTTTTTAAATTTACACTAAAAATTTTATTTCCCAAAACTATCATTTTATTTTACGTATTAGTTAACTAAAAAATCAGATAATTTCAATATGAAAATAAATTAATAAAGTATAAATTCTCTTATTTAGACTTTAATAAAATTTATACAGTATTTATATTTTAGGATTTTTTATTTGACAATTCTTATTTTATTAACCTGTAAATTGAAATTAAATCATAATAAATTTCAAAATAAATAAGCACTTTTTAATATGTTTAGCAAAATCATTCATTATTAACCCATTTATTAATTACTTTTCTATTTTATTTTCATTATTTTCAACACATTCATTATTTATTATTTTCATAGGAATAATAACCTTGGTGCAGATGGAGCTAAGAACATTGGAATGAGCTTGGAGAAGTGCCAAAATATAACATCTTTGGATCTCGATCTTTTGTAATTTAACTAACTATCAATTTATATTTAGTTTGTTTTAATTAATACATTTGTGAAATTGAAACTTAAAACAAATGGGTTTGGAGAATTAATAGATTGATTCACAGCTCATAAATTGTTTTTGATTTTTTTGTTTAATTTTTTTTGTGCATCTAAATTTATTTGTTTACGAATTGAAACAATTATTCCAATTAATTGCATCAAAAATAAATAAATAAGCACTTTTCAATATGTTTAGCAAAATCATTCATTATTAACCCATTTATTAATTACTTTTCTATTTTATTTTCATTATTTTCAACACATTCATTATTTATTATTTTCATAGGGAGAATAAGCTTGGTGCAGATGGAGCTAAGAACATTGGAATGAGCTTGGAGAAGTGCCAAAATATAACATCTTTGGATCTCGATCTAAGGTAATATAACTAACTATCAATTTATATTTAGTTTGTTTTAATTAATACATTTATGAAATTGAAACTTAAAACAAATGGGTTTGGAGAATTAATTGATTGATTGATTCACAGCTCATAAATTGTTTTTGATTTTTTTGTTTAATTTTTTTTGTGCATCTAAATTTATTTGTTTACGAATTGAAACAATTATTCCAATTAATTGCAT